AATGCATAATTTACTTAAGCGCACATAGAATTCTACTTAGGCGTCAGCTTGTGACGCCCAAGCAGAATTCTATTTGCGCCTAAGTAGATCATGGATTATGTTTTCCAACAGCCCCAGACCAGATTTCTATTTGCGCATAAGTAGATTATGAATATAAATTATGTCTTCCAACAGCCCCAGACTAGAATTTGGAAGACATGGTCTAATAAGGCGCAAATAGTAATAGAATTCTACTTAGGCGTCAGTTCGTGACGCCTAAGTAGAATTTTATTTGCACCTAAGATTACCTAAGTAGATTTAGTCTTCAAAAGAAAGACCGAAACATAAGTTCACCCCAATCTCACAATCATAATTTTAGATCTATAGACTGTGGATCAGATAGGTATAAAGTATCCATGGCAAGTTTTTGTTATTAGCAAAACTGAATTCATCACCGGTCCACAATACAAATTCAATTTAGGTCAAGTACTTCACGACTTCGAGTGCAAATCCAGATTGATGAATCTGGATGTGTCCTCGCTGTGTGCACTGTTTTGTTTCTTTACTTCTTCAAAAGCTTGCTAATTTTCCCTTGACATGGTTTCTAACATCACCTTCTATAAGATATCCTTATTGCCCTGGTTTCTTCCATAGTCCCTTCCATAGTTCCCTCCATGGTCCACAAGGCCCACAGGTTAAGAGGCTAAAGTTTGAAATAATATATATATATATGTGACTATTTTGGGGATATCGCGTTCATAGATTGGGTGATGGGTGTTGATAAATTGGGGGTTGACATGAACCATCATTAGTCAGATGAATACCATGGAGGTAGATGCGGGTTATGAAGCTGATTTGGTGGTTTCCTAAATCATAGGGGTACCCCGAACATCCATTTATAGACGGGGATGGTCCATGAAATAAACCATCCAGGATTCCAGCGAGCTCGGGGATCTCCCATTTCCGGGGAGGCCGCATTTGTGTATTTTCCAATTGATGAAGGCACCAGAAATTGAGGAATCGAGTTGGAAAATGTTGCTCCTTGGAGCATCCCTGAGATTGGGACTATGACGGCCTGATCCGTGATCCCCAAAACCAAATGGTTTCCATGGCTTTCCCGCGGGCTAAAACCACCAATGAGGAGATGTGCCAACTGCATTGAAGTCTGAGCATTTGGGAAAGGATCATCATGCTTGACCTAGACAAATGGATTGTTTCATACGAATGACCAGTTGTGGAAGTTGTGGAAACAAGCTACACTGTACTCTCCAGTAGTTGGAAGGAGCGGCTTGGAACTACTGCAATCATTTGGTTTCCATCTCTATTCAGAGCCCAAAGGAGCTACGAATTAAGTTTACCACATGAGGGCGATTCGGGCCCCGCGTTTTCAGCCATTTGAGTTACCCTCTGGTTATTTAAGATAGCCATGGAAAATGGCCCATTTATAGATGGTTTACCTGGGTTTACCTATTAAAACTTGTGATTTCCCATGGCTATGTCAAAGAACCAGATGGTATTTACGAGTTCCTTGATGGATTCTCCAAGTGCCCACACTCTTTGAAGGTGCCAATGGTGCTAAAAACGCACCGGGGCTTACGGCTGCTGCGCCATGCTGCACTCACTGTGAGAAGGGCCCAGTTGAGTTGGGTCGCAGAGGACTAGCATCCACCTGCTTGGGTAAACTGGATGTAACATGATGTAACCAGGGAAAGTCATGAGAAAAATATGATTTAACCCATGCGAAATCATGAAAAAAAACGGGATGTAACCATGAAACATAGGTGCACATTGGGATATCAACCATGAACAAATCACGATTTATTAATGATCCATGATGGGGATGTATATATATATATACATTAACCTATGGGAAAACTGACTGGAGAACTTGTTTAGTATTTGTTGCCACTTTCATAGGGGTATATAATATATATATATATAATATATGAGTAAATCATAACGACCTCACTGTCCTCCCTCACTGGGAATAGTGGTTAGTAAGGGAAATCATCCCCTTTTATGGCCCAACAATTCAGCTTAGTGAAATATGATCATTTACCCAGATAGTCATGTACAATGATTATAAGAATTCAAAATCATTTCTTTGGCACAAACAACGTCATGGGGGTATATACATAATAATATATATATATATCTTTATGGACCCAGAAACACCGAAATGTTTGTTTGCAGGGTATCTCCGGCCATGGATGTGGTCGAGATCAGCACTAAGAGATTCTGCGGACGGGAAATGATGAGAATCCATTGGAATTGGGGGGTTAAATTTTCAGACTAACCCATACATATATTCTAAGAAAAAGATTAAACTGAAAATGTTCGGGAAAACATATATATATATACATACAATATAACATACATATGTTTTTGGAGGGAAAATATGGAATCATGACTTTTTGGGAATCAAAGTTTAGAGAGAATCCGAATTGCGCCTGCACCAAGTGAAATTTGTCATATTTGGCTAGTTGGCGGTTTCAAAGATGTTCGCCAAAACATGGGATGACGATCCCAACTTACAAATACGTTCTGGTTGGAGGTTGACACCACCAGATCTTCAACCGACCTAGGCGATGGGAGTGCTCTTGACCATGATTCTGGCCGCTGTGGGGGTCTCAGAGTATCCATTTTTGTCATCACAAGGAGGGACTTGATGAATCCAGTGGTGGTTTGGAATATTTTTTTCATCACTGATTCAGTATATTCATATAATGTAAGAAAAAGAATATAATTGATTCCCAATTATCGGTGGTTTTTCCCAATGAATTCCGTATATTGGGAATTATAACCCCAACTGATTTTCATATTTTTATATTGATGAATCAGTGTTGACATGAATTGATGTACCCTCTGGTAAACTGGTATATTATGGAAAGATCCACCATGATATGGAAAAGGGTAAATCAACTATAAAGGGTAAGATGTAAAATCTGGTTGGTGGTTTGGAACCATGGAATTTTAAATGACTTTCCATATATTGGGAATGTCATCATCCCAACTGACTTTCATATGTTTCAGAGGGATAGGTATACCACCAACCAGTTCGTGAAGCCATGTCATAGACCACCCATATGACTTGATGGTTGAAATAGCATTCATAAAAATGTTGATTTTGGTGGTGAATCCTATTGCTTTAACCACATTAGCCGATTATAGGTAAACTATGGCAAACTCACATTAGCTATGTGGGGGTTTCCTAAAATAAGGGTACCCTCAAAAAAACATCCATTTATAGATGGATTTTCCCTGACATAAACCATCCAGCTACTGGGTATTCACATGGATTTTTTCCGTGGAAAAGATCTGGAGATTGCTGAAATTTCCCCTCCCAACAACTCTCCGTGGACTGAAAGTTTTTCGTCGTGAGGAACTGGCATTTCGTCTGGGACCGGATCCTGAATTCTTCGCATGACGAATTTACGAAACGAGCTGGTCACCGACTGGTGACCATGTCAGCAATGCTGAAAGCTAAGCCTGGGAAGCCTGGAAAGGCAGTGATAGTTCGTGGGACTTGGGTCTGTCTCAAGCGATGCCCCTCCAATTCATGACTTTTAGACAGGAGACATGTGGAAAACATTGAAAAACAGTGTAAAAATCACGCCTGGAACTAGCAACGGAAGAATTTATGAGCTTCCAAGTCTTGAGCCGACCCTTTGAAGATTCCAAACATCGTTGAAATCTGTGGCTGTGTGCAGCCCCAGTTGAAAACGACTGCGGCTGAACTCGCTTGGGGAAGCCAAGATCAGGCCGCGGTGTAGGGAACATGTTTTGGACAAAAAACAAAAGAAACAGATGTTTGTTTGCCACTGGTTGATCAATATACACTTACACCATCTTACACCCATGCTTCGTTCCAAACCTGAAAAAACTCGTTCCGGGCCTTGCCACATCCGCGGCCTGAGTCTTGCAATCCAGTCCTTTCATCGGCTTCTTCGAGGCTCCTGAGGTCAACAAAAACATGTGCACCGAGGCAGATTTGGAGGTTTCCTACAATGTAGGGCCCCCGTGGCCCCGAAATCGCTAAGTTGGTGAACAAAACTCTTATGGCATCTATGGTTTCTGATACTTAAAACCTGTAGTCAATGGGGTTTATAAACCATCTTATAGCTGAGTGGCCTCACATTGTAAGTCATGGGGGCTACCCCCAAATCATCCAAGTCGTGGATGACCATGACTTAGTATAGGTCAACAATCATGGTGACTTGGGGATCCCCCATGACTTTGGAAAAAAAAACATTTGGAGCCGATGTTTATCCGATGTTTCAGAAAGGAATTTTGGTGGTCATCATCTACTCTCGACAGATGATGTTGACATATTTCTTAGTTTTTGGCTAGCTGGAAAACAGAAAATCACCATGTGTAGTAAGGAATACGACCACTTCTAATAGGATCTAAGATTACAAGAGGGTGAGACCTACAGGAAGCTAGGTGCTGCATTCCATTATATTCCATTCATTGTGCCACTTGGAAATCAGCACCTGCTGCGATGCTTTTTGGCTCTCAGCTGGTTTTGGATCTAATTGCAAGGACTTCACCACGGCTCTGGGAATCGGTAACATTCCTTTGATCCTTAGTACAGTTATGCATTACTCACATCACAATCTCTTTGAGTTGACTCTTCATTGTAATGATCACGGTATAGTCAGCTATAGTCAATGTTTGTTATATGGTATATTATTGCTTCTGATTGCCTACTTGTACTTGATTTTCTCATCAGCCAGTGATCATTGTGATCACTGTGATCGGTCGGACCTACTCGACAGACCCGCAGATGATCAGACCCGACCCGCATCCCTCAGCCACATCGAGACTTCTCAAGAGACTTCAATCATGTTCATTTTTTTGGGGGGGGAACAACAGCATGTTTTTAACAAAACCATGGGAGTCCTCCAAAAAGCTGGGTGTTGAACCATGTTGAACTCTAAGATGTGATGTTTTATATAGCTTCTCCACAAACTAACATCCACAAACTAACATCCATTTGCAACTCTTAGGCTAACCACTTCCACCGGCGGCCGTTGTGAAAAACGTCGCCATGGCATGTCCAAAGACGCCACCCACAAGGTGGTCTCCTTGGGAAAGGCACGGCGTCCGGAGACCTAAAAGCGAAATTGGCGGGAAATGCTCATTATTTTAATGATGATGGTCATGGTTAATTATAGAATCACATGGTTTCACTATCAAAGTCTGTAATGTGTTTGTTTCTCATTCAAAATGTTCATCATTAATGTGTGATTATTTCCAATAATGTGGGTAAAACAATGCCATTTCTACCAGCCATGACTGGGAATTGTAATATGTCGCCTATAAAAATTGTGATGACTGGGGGGTTGTTTTTGGCATTGTTTTGCCCACATTAACCAGTTGATACATGGTTTATCCCATTATTTACAGGGTTTCAACCATCCAAGCTGGTGCAGAATTTCGCAACCATCCGCAGTAGTTCGTTATATGTTGTATCATAGACTATAGTTATTGGCCATTGGAGTTATGTTCACCAACTTAGAGATTTCGCAAACGGGGGTCCCCACGTTGTAGTGACATGTTTGTATGGTCTTGATTGTTTCATTGAATTTTTGTAGGTGTGTAAAATACGTTACCCATAAAACCATATAGAACACCAAGTCATGTAAGTAAACCGGGTTTAAACCGTTGCGATTTCGTCAACTTAGCGGCATGATCTTGTAAGTTGGTTGATGTCGCCCAAGGGAAACTCAAAGAACCTCAATTTCCCTGGGCACCACATTGTGTGTCCATAACAGATTATCCATCTGCCAGTTTTCTTTGAATCCTAGATGTAACATTGATGTAAGCGATAGCGTGTTTTCTTGTCTATAAAAGGGATATGTCCAGTGTTCAGATTTCATTTTTTTCGGTAAATCCATCAGGAATGGCTGAGGGTTAGATCTGATGCAGATAATCCATGGCTTCCAACATGGTTTATTTTCATTCATTGGCCGAAGATGATTCTTCATCTTACAAGATCTGGATATATCATATCCTCCATTCTGGGAAAAGCTACATGAGCATTCTGAACCATTTTTCTTCATTGAATGCTTGAACCAATGTGTGCATATATGTGCCACGGTGCATATGGTCATGGCTCATGGTTCATAGGGATTTCCATACCTATGTTGCTTGGATTTTTGATGGCGGGCAGATGGCGAGGCCTTATATAGATTCCTTTGATGTGGCGTTTTGAGACGCAACCAAGTTTATGGTTCTTTGCAGGATATAACTATAGTTTAATCAATGATTGCAATCCATATGGTTTCTATTGATATTGTTGATTAAACAATTCTCAAAAATCATTGATTATACAATTTGTAAATCATGGTTCATTCAATAATTTCTTTTGCAGTCTCAAAGCGTCAGCAAAGTATGGCACAAAGCGATCTCCCAAAAAAAAAAATCCTGCGCCCAACGGGATTGCATCGCAGAAAGATCTTATCGTGGAACAACGAGTTATACGTTTCTTTGTTTTGGAGAATGAACACTATATTTATCATATATATTCACAATATAATAAGATGAACATAGTATAACATATGTAAGACTATATAAGATGTTCGTAGCATTCAGATAGACACAAATAAACAAGAATATCATTTATGTCACACCAAGGTTTAGTACATAACGCCATTTAACATGTCACTTAGTCACTTAACTGTATATATAAAAATATTATATATATATATATTATACATATATACATATATACATATATACATATATACAAATATGCATATATACATCTATACATATATACATATATACTTATATATATACATATGCATAATATATATATACATATATATATATATGTGTATATACATATACATATATACTTATATACATATATACATATGCATAATATATAAATATATTTACATACATACATACATACATACATACATAGATACATACATACATACATACATACATACATATGCATCACATATATATATATATATATTGTATTTTATTAATTATATTAATTAAATTTGTTTATATGCTACAGCGTTTGACCCTCCGTTTTTTTCGTTTCAACAACTGCTTGGGCCTAGGCTGGGAGGCCGCCTTGGCTTTGGCATTTCAGGAGGACGGTTGAATTTTGATGATTTTTTGATGGCGATGATGTGGAATTTACTGGTGAATTTTGATGAATTTCATGGTGGTTTATGATTTATCAATGAAACATGATGTGATTGTTCATGGAATTCAGAATTGTGATTCCATCCGCTGTAAGCAAGACATTGTTGCCATTTATGGAATGAGACTCCCATGTAGAACCATTTATAGAACTGGTAAATAGACCAACTTCGCTATCAAAACCTGGTTGGTGGTTTGGAACATTTTTTATTTGCCCATTCAGTTGGGAATTTCATCACCCCAACTGACTTTCATATGTTTCGGAGGGGTAGGTATACCACCAACCAGAAACTGCTGGCCATATTTTTTTTTGAATTTCACTTTAACTTGTGGGCTAGATCCCCCAACTCCTTTGGCAAATGTTGATCAATTGGACACGATGGAAACGCGTTTGCTGAACCAACGGATGAATTTGATCATGACCTCACGTCGAAATTCCGTCACTGGAATGATGCGGAATCATCGCACTGGCCCAACATTAAAAACAACCAGTTTTCAGCTTAGTGAATTATTACACAGTCAGATAAGTTTCATCACAATTCCCATAGGATCCATGTATGGTATATATTTATATATGTATATATGCTAACATTTGGGGTTTATTGATGGGATCCATGTTACCATATATGGCATACATAGATCCTATGGGAATCGATGATGTATAATTTTTGTGAGAAGCCCATGAAGAGAGTGAACCACTTATTTTCTCTGGGTCCTCATGTCGGTACCCGTTGTGGATATTCCCAAGTTCCCATCAGATCCACTTTAGTTCGTTCGCTCGCTGGGCAACTGTCAGTAGAGCAATAGGATTCCAGGATCCACCCTGCGCATTGTCAATGGGAATAAACTATCATAAACTGCCTTCTGTAAATGGTATCTATTCACATCTATTAACCCTTGGTTAACCATTAATTTACCATGATATGAACCATTATCTATCAACCATTGTTCAATGGGAATTTCAGGATCCAATTGATGGAGGTACGTTAGTACCATATGTTTGGCCATATGAATTGTGGGGATATTCCCTGAAATTTAGGCCTGCAAAAATAGGCCAAAAATATATGGAATCGGTACCTCCAATAAATCGGTTCCTGAAATGACCATGCCCATTTTTTTGGGCCACCTTCATGGATGGTACAATGTGGGGCCCCCGTGGCCACGAAATCTCTAAGTTGGTGAACATAACTCGAAATAACTATGGTTTATGGTATACTTATAACTATACCTACTGGGGTTTATGAGCCAACTTATAACTGGCCACGAAATCATTAAGCTGGGGTCCACATTCCACATAACTCCAATTTCACTCTGGTTCTATGGCAAATAACGAACTAGTATTCATGGGGTGAATGTAAACCAACTAACATAACGTTTGGGGGGGCGCCCACATTGCAGGAAATGTATGGTTTGATATGAGTCACAATGGGATAGGAATGGGATAACAATGGAAACACACCGACCTTTTTTCCGCAGAATTCACCGAATCTGAACTAAACAAAACAAAACCATCATAACCATAGAGCCATCAAAACTAATGGTTTATTGCTTTACTAAGATGAGCTCCTGCCAGGAACCCAATGTCATCACCTGGGGCGCTTCCGCGGCCGCCTGCGCCCGAAGTCGCCAGTGGGCACAGGTCAGCTGCGAAAGTTTCAACGGAAGCCTTGGGTTTCTGACCCCAAAAAATGGGTCAAAGGTTGTGAAACTGTGCGAAACCCATCTTTTTTCAATCCCACGCAGGAAATTATGATGACCAGATCACTTCTTAGTTGATGCTGAGGTAAAACCACTCAAGTTGAGTTGTTTTAACCACATACCTTTGAACCATGGCCGAACTTACCACAGAATTACGTCATTGCGAGGTTGATGGTTGATATACCACTCAATTTTAGCACATTTAATCTTATTTATACTTTCTGAATGTTCCGGAGTTGAATCCCCATGCGGACTGAGATCCTAATTCGTTGTTGCCTAAACTCCCGTTTTGGTTGGATGCAATCCCACTTTTTGGTCCGTCCAGGTACAAGGTGGTGCCCCATTAAGTTGGTTTACAAAGCCCGTTATCTACAGATATGTACAGCACCATAGTTGAGCTACTGAAATAACCAACTTCATATACCCTTTGGTAATTTAACATAGCTATTGAAAATGACCATTTATAGTTGATTTTCCCATTAAAAATGGTGATTTTCCATAGCTATGTTAGTTTACCAGAGGGTAATTTGATTATTTGGGGTCTCAGGTAGTTCGCTAAGTTGGTGACTAGTTGAATTATAGCAGGAATATGCAGGGATTGTGGAGATACACCTCGTATTCATGAGGTTTATAAACCATTGTTTGGCTAGATCCCTCAACTCTTGGGGTATTAATGTTGGTAAAATGTTGGTAAATATTCCACAGATGCAGCATTAAAGACATACACAACCGACAACACTAGGAATATTTTTTCACCAACATTTTAAAACTATGATTTTGTATTTCTACTATACATATGTGGTGTTGTTCACATTTTCTCTACTATTATTTGTATGTAAAATTATGTTTTTTCATCTTCAAAACCGACAACACTAGGCCTGCGGGCTCTTGGGCTGCTGCAGCGCAGCGCAGCATCTCGCTTAGCCACGCTGCCGGGTGGAGTTTTTTGTTTTTTTTTTGGGGTCAGACATTGACTAGGTCAATCTTACATGGATACAAACTAATCCTTTAGTCTTTTGGTATTAATGGGAATATCCACGTTCACCAGCAAAGAATTTATTTTTTTTGCAGGGTATCTAAGATTGGCAATGTTGAGAAAAACAATGTGGGAATTATGATTAACCACGTCATAGGGATATAGGGATTTGTTTGATAACCATGTGATGTAAACCAACGATGATTATCTGGTGTCATAACCCTATGTGATTATAGGGATAATTTAATAACCATGGACCCTATGTCATTACCATGATTATAACATGGATTATGATTTAATATATGGATTTTTTGGGTGTCTCCGAGAATAGAGCATACCCGACAGTCATTTTAACGGGGAAAGTGAGTACTAACCAGTGGATTTATGAGTAATTTTCAGACGAACCCATACATGACCAATAGTGGTAAAACGTTTAATTATTATATGATTACCAACATGATTTTATTGTATATATATATATACACATAAACTATAAATATAATACACATAAACGTATATATATATATATACATATGTAACAATTGGCAACAAGCACATCCAACTGTCTATTTATGTTGATCCAATATTAAGGATAAGCCCGTATATATATATATATGTATATATTCATAAATCAACAATTAGATGTTTTCGAATCTATGGCAGCCTGGCACGATGATCCCAATGGGCTCGTGAACTTTTTTGAGTCCAATGGATTGGTATCGCACTTTTTTTGGGGGTTGGAACTACGAATGGTTCTTGGCTGCACTTGACTTGGGGGTGGCAAACACCATTTAATAAACCAACTTGGCTCACGTGAGCGTTGGATAGAGGTGGCAAACACTAGTTCGGAATTGCACCAGTTCGGTTTTTTGCTACGTTGGTTTTTTTCAATATGTGAATTCTATCGGAAGTTTCATGATAGGTATCGGTATCGAACTAGGTTTCACACAGTTTATAAAGCAACAAATGTGATTGTAGAGGGATTGACCATCAGTATAGGTTTTAACCACTAGGGGGTACCGCAGCCAGGTTAGAGATCAATGTGATCCTGGAAAGCACTGCGATCAATGTCCAGCCCTTAGGTCCGTTTTCCCCGCTGCGTGTGAAAACATGTGGTGGTATTCCCCAAAAAAGATAGAACCATAACATAATGAAATGACGCGAGGATAGTAGACATCACCAAGAAAACTCATAAGATAGTAAGCCATCTCAAAAACTAACTTGATAACCAAATAAACCATCTCAAACTTATGGTATCTCTTAAGTTTACTTCTTTGAGATTGCATTTTACTCAGACTTTCTAAAAATAGTAGAAGTGGTAGTGGTGGTGGTGGTGGTGGTGGTGGAGGTGGTGGTGGTAGTGATAGTGGTGGTACTTACTTGTAGTTTGGTTGTTCACTAAATCATGTGTTTTTTGTTACTAATTATACTTAATGTATGTGTATGATACAATGTGACGCCCCCCAGTTATAAGTTGGTTTGTAAGCCCCAGTAGCTGTAGTTATAAATACCATAGTTATTAGTTATTGGAGTTATAAACCAACTTAGATATCTTGGGGGCCTCACATTGTAGCCCAAAGGGTATCTGATGTTGGGATTTAAGCATCATTTTTTTACTTTTTTGACCAATGAATATTGGTTTTCTTCGACATATTGAAAAACAAAATCCGAAAAAATGGTTTACAGCTAGGTTAACCAGGGTGCATGGTAGATATATCACTACATTTCATGGGGGTTGTAATACGCATCTTCGCGATTTAGGGTTGCGTACAACCTTGATCATTATATCATGAATTTTTACACCCTCCGGCAATCATGATGGCAATTGAACATCCCTGAAAAAAATGAAGGTTTCAGTGGGAAAATCAACTCTACCCTCTGGTAAACTGACATAACTATAGAAAATCACCATTTTTATTGGGAAAACTCACTATAAATGGCCATTTTTAATAGCTATGTTAGTTTACCAGAGGGTAAATCGTGATTTTTTCCATTGCTTCTGTTTGATTACCAGAGACTGTGCATGGTAACGATCCAGGGTCACCAGATACTTGGCCTAACAAATTAAGCACCAGATTTTTCGCAGGGAGTCTGGACAGTGGAGATGTCTGGAGCCTAGTTGTTCAAAAACTCCAAAAACCATGTCATATTCATTCATATTCCATATCTTATCATCAAATATTCTTAAGACCCAAAACTGCCAACACAGATTTCTATCCCATTCTTGAGCCATAAAGGCCATGCAGTGGAAGCCATAGCCCATGGCGACCAAGGCCTTGGCAAAAGAAACACGTTGGAGTGAGAAACCCAGAGTTTCCGAGACTGAGACTCCCAGCGAAGCATGGTCCAATGGTCCAGCTGGAAGATTTACCTCAACTGGGCCATTTTGATCACTGGTTGGTGGTTTGGAACATGAATTGTATTTTCCATAACATCTGGGATAATATTGACGAACTCTTTCATATTTTTCAGAGGGGTAGGTATATCACCAACCAGTGTGGCTGTGCATATTCCAGCACCATGGTTCGCATCTGAGATTGAGACAAGAGGTGGACATGGATGTTCTCCGACTTTATCGCCGGTTTCATATGACTTTATCATACTTTATCCCAAAATGTGATATACCATGATTTACCAAAATCTATTTAGAAATTGTATGAAGTTGTGACTTATGACTAGAACAAAAATAGCTTTTAGACCATGACACGGAATGGACGTGTTCTTACGACTGAAAAAACCGCCCTGACCCTGGGCGAAGTCTAGATGATGAGGGACGGGGAAGATAATCCCAACATGACCAAGCCCAGGTACCGAGAAGTTGGACACCGAACTTGTTTTTTTTTCAGATTTCACTTGATTTCACATCGAACCAGCCCTTTTTTGGTTCCGGAAATACTGGTTGACATCTTGTTTGAGGGTTAGAGTTTATCATGTGTTTTTTTGTATATTTATATGAAGGTTTCCTCAAAAATAGTGGTGCCCCTAAATCACCTTTCCATTATTATTATGTATATAATATATATATATATATATATGTAAACATTTATAAACCATCCATAAATGGGGATCCTCCATTTATGGACCCCCCCCTAATACGGATCATCCTGGTGTTTATTCCTTTTCTGGTGCCACTGTTCCACTTCAGGTGATTCCTTGCTAACTCTGCAGCAGCTGAGTCTCTCACAGCTGGAGACGTGGCTTCCGCTGCAAACCCAAAAAAATGAGCCAACCTTTGGTTGGTACAATGTGAGGCCCCCCAGTTATAAGTTGGTTTATAAGCCCCAGTAACTATAGTTATAAGTACCATAAACCATAGTTATCAGTTATTGGAGTTATAAACCAACTTAGATATTTTGGGGGCCTCACATTGTAGGTCAACCCAAAAATGTCCTCACTACAGCAACTCCCAAAAGGACGCATAGTTGCCGTATTTTCCGTGCTTTTTTAAGGATGGTATGGATGTTGGTTTCCCCGGCATAGTTTCCGGGTGTCCAATTTTGTCGGAATCTTTTTGGGGGCTTGCAATAACCCATATAGGATCCATGGTGCTGGTATAGCTAACATAAAGGGGGTATATTGATGGGATCCATGGAGCACCATATATAGCAGCACGATGGATCCTATGGGTTACAAGGGTTCCTCAAGCGTTTTTTTTTTCTTTGCCCAAGTCTTGGATCAATGATGTCGGACTGGTCCATTTCCGTCATGTTTCCTTTCTTTACATATACCCTCTGCTTATTTCACCTAGCTATGGAAAATGGCCCATAGAAACAACTGATTTTCCCATGAAAAACCTCCATTTATGATTTGGATTTTCCAGTTCGCTATGTGAAATAACCAGATGGTAATGGGATAATCGGAGGTTTCCCAGGTCATGTGGATTCCCCCCGTCCAAGTCATGGATGACCATGACTTAGTAATGAGCCCCTTTTTGTTGGGGATCTCCAATTGTGTTGGCTGTTAACCATCCATGTTGGTCCCCTCAAATGGAAGTAAATGATGTGGGATGTACTTGCGATACCGTACTAGTCATAAGCAACAACACTAATCATGAAATTGTTGATTTAATGGGATATAATGGGGTATAAGGGTATAACATGGTATAACCAACAATGTAAGTATGATATCATATAGATGTTGATTGTTTTAGTGGGAGTGGGATGGCTTATAATTATTGGGTTTCCCCATGTCACCGCAGGAGTCGAACCTCTTTTGTTTCAACGCCGTGATCTCATCTTTCAAGGAGGACGTGAGTGCGAGAGCGCTGCCCAGTTCAGAGCGGCAGATGCTAGATATTTCTACCATAATATAATCTATTTTTATCTAGCAACATAAACAGCACAAACATATGAAATAATGGTAGAAATAATGCTGTTTATACTATTGATATAAACTGACCAATTATCTAGATATTTAGCATAATCGTTGGCCTAGTGATCGTTGGAGCCATCCTTGTTGAATGGTGATCCTGAGATGAAAAAAACTACATGTGGGATTTCATGTTATCAAAGAGGATGGTCAATGCCATTTTCATTGGGGAAAACCGACATTTTTCATAGGTAAAACCATCTATGTCTATGGGCCATTTATAGATGATTCACCCATTAGAATCTAGGGTACCAATCGACTGGATGGCTACTAACTAATCCTAGTCTTGCAGGGTATCTGGCTGGGAATATCTACGTTCTTTGCAGCAAAGAATTTAAGTCATTTGTTTTTGGGGTATCTAAGATCTGATTGGCCATGGCCATTTTATTAGGGATTTTGGATAAATTGCCATGTTTTTCAGGAATCACATGGATGACCATACCCAAGTAATCCATTCATAATCAAAACGTGAAAATGATGTGGAAATCCGACCCAATCATGACCCATTCAAGTAGATCCCATTCATTAATCATACCCAAGTATTCCATCCTATGTCTTGAACATGATGTGGAAATGAAAGGGTCGGGAATGCAATTTTACCATTGCTTGTGTGAAAACCGTGAAAGTAGGGTTTTTGGATATGTGGATATGAGTCAAAAAAAATTATATGAGAGGCCTTAAAGGATCTACCATTTAATTTAATATATATATATACTTATGGTAAAGTGTTCAATACACCATTTCTTTGTTTCTCTTGTAGAAATCCATGTTCATCCTGTCGTGCTGATCTTATCCAGGGCCTCGATGAGAAGCCAAAGCACCAGTGATTTTGGAATCTGGAGCCGTTGAAAATACAATATGGGGCCCGCCAGTGATGTTTGTTGGTTAACAAAAGCCCCAGTAACTATGTTATTTGCGTACCATAAACCATAGTGACATTGGAGTTATGTTCACCAACTTAGATATCTTGGGGGCCTCACATTGTAGTTGATAGGTTATTACCCATATGCGAACCATGGTGCTGGTATATTCACGGGCAAACACCTCGATTTGCCCGCGCTTGTCGGCGGCCATCTTCGTATGTGCTGAAAAAGTGATAAACATGGGAGTTTTTTTTGCATCATGGCTAACTTCATGTTGTATATCGGCACGCACAGTATAGGGACCTGTGCGAGTCTCTTACACATCATCATCATCATCATCATCATCATCAAACCCTTATTGAAGATCTTCAATGAATGTAGAAGTTTAACGGGGGTGGGAGAATTAAACCCTTATTGAAGATCTTCAATGAATGTAGAAGTTTAACGGGGGTGGGGGAATTAAACCCTTATTGAAGATCTTCAATGAATGTAGAAGTTTAACGGGGGTGGGAGAATTAAACCCTTATTGAAGATCTTCAATGAATGTAGAAGTTTAACGGGGGTGGGAGAATTAAACCCTTATTGAAGATCTTCAATGAATGTAGAAGTTTAACGGGGGTGGGAGAATTAAACCCTTATTGAAGATCTTCAATGAATGTAGAAGTTTAATGGGGGTGGGAGAATTAAACCCTTATTGAAGATCTTCAATGAATCTAGAAGTTTAACCGGGGTGGGAGAATTAAACCCTTTTTGAAGATCTTCAATGAATGTAGAAGTGTAACGGGGGTGGGAGAATTAAACCCTTATTGAAGATCTTCAATGAATGTAGAAGTTTAACGGGGGTGGGAAATTTATATTCCCCAAATACCCTAGTTGATCTTCCCAATTGAATGTAAAGTCTAACGTTTGATATCCCCAAGTGTACAGCATAGAAGGGGTGTGGGCGAATCGAGGTGCTTGCGCGTATATTTACCTACATGACTGGGTGATTTTGTTCGGGCAAATGTTGGTAAATATTCCAGCACCATGGAGCATATGGGTTTAATATAGCATTAAACGTATCAACTATGGTTTATAGCCATATGATAATATGTTTAATGCCACCAGATAGTATAATATCAATATGTTGAGGGGATTATACTATCTGGTTTAATATGTGTAATGGGGATTACAATAAACCATAATAATACGGATAACTATTAACCAACCAGTATAATGAGATGGGATAGGGGTATTTTTCATGGACAGACCCTGAAAATGAACAATTCATAGTTGAAACTCATCTTCCGACCCCTATTTGACAGGGTCTATGTTAATCTACTGGAGGATAAATTGTACATAATACATCTGGAAAAATGGTAGATATGACAAGACACCAATGGACACTTAAAGGAACGTGATGTAATTGTTAACTAATCACCGGATCAACCAATGGATGTTGCATTTGGATAAATTTTAATGTCCTCACGCCGTTTTCCGTCACTGGAATGTTTTTTTTTGGGGGGGGACACATCCCCATAGCTTTCTGTATGAGAACAGCAAAAAGAATTCAGGACAGTGCATTGCTATCAGCCCGATATGCACCATGAAACTGAGAATCCATGTTGGGGGATGCTTATCAATCCATCTTCATCGGGATTTTGTTGGAACCATGTGAATAGGAATTCTATTCTGGGATGACCATTTTTAGCATTTTTTCCATGTGACCTGACTGCAGGAATGTAAGAAATTCTTTCGGTTACCCAGAAATAATGTTCATCAAAAGTGCTAGATCCCATCAATCCCATCGGATCCATCCTGTTTCTTCCCTACTTTTTTTTTTCTACCCGCCTCGCTGAAGAATGCTGTCCAGACCAGGAGTCTTGGGCCTCTGGTTTGTCCTTCTTGACCCAGATGAGGCAAGGTCCATGAGTCCATTGTTTCCATGGCTCGTGTTTTTTGGCATGGCATGAAGCTATTAACCCAAAAGATGGGTGAAATTCAAGGTGACATGGGCCATTTTCTTACTCCTGTAAACTCACGTAGATGTGGAAAAACTACCAGCAGATCATTGTCCGAGACCATTGGTTTTCAGCTTTTCCACATCTAAACGTAGACAAAATGGGGTTCCAAACACA